ATGTATTGGAATTGGAATTGAGCACTATTAGGGTTGTAAATAAGGAGTAAATAGAAACTATGGATTAAAGTTAGTAACATAAACCACATACCTAAAACTGCACGATGACGAGGAAAAATAATAGCTAAAATACCTCCAGTTAAAGGTAGGATAATTAAAAGCCAAAGCAACACCTAAAAATTTAAATTTCATGGTAAGAAATCCTATGGAAAGAGGGGGGGGGGTTAAGGTATTCTCATGTAAATAAAGTACCCTATCTATGGTATTCCACTATGTGTCGTAATAAGGAAGGGTCCTCATTGTGATACAATGAGGACCCTTCCCTCCTCTAGAATATTATTATAGACAAAGGTTGGTTACCCACCTATAATTGAAATTATTATACAAATTCAGACCTAATCCTATTGTTATGGTGGTGCCCTGACTTCATACTCTAACGAGTGTAAAGAAGGTAATGGATCTTAGAACAAGTGAGTATGATTCCCAGTACTCTCTCGTTCTTCGATCCAGTATCACCATAGGGGGTAGTTCTCATACAAATCCAGATCTAATCCTGTTGTGATAAATCACAACAGGATTAGGATAGTGGGTAATAGTGGTACAAATACCATTATTTACCCACCATAATTATACAAAGAATGTATACATTCTTTGTATAATCTGGACAAGGGTATAATATACCCATGGATAAGGATTTGTATGAGAAAAAGTGGATAATTATAGAATTATACTCCTTAGACAACACTTAGGAGGGTCACCAACTCTTACCCCCTCCCATTTGTCGTAATACAAATTCAAATCAATGGTACTATATAAGGGAGGGTATTCCACCCTTTTATTATCTACCGATTTTACAATTGTATTTGTATTACGATTGTTTTACAAAGGACAAGTGGGTAATTTACCCCATGGGTGGGTTTACCCTCCTTTGACCTTTCAACCACATTGTGGTTGAATATGCCTAGATTATAGGTACCCCCTTTTAACCACTTGATACTATTTCTTGTATCATGAGATATTCCGTCTCAATAGGTATACTCGTTCCTATGGGGAAATGGGGAGGGGTTAAAAATGTTGTTTGTAAGGTACAGGCAATTATCGGACTACTCCCCTATGCTGTGATAAAACTTTAGGGTAATTTATACAAGAAGGGGGTACAACTGTATTCCTAGTTGTTAAGTGGGGGAAGATTGGTTATAACCTCTGGCTCGTTTCCTATCGTAATACAATGGGGACCCAGGTCTATTCCCCTATGGGAGGGGGTTCCTTTCTAACGAGGTTCTATGGCATATGAATTTCCAGAATTTCTCATACAAATTCAGATTCACATAGTGAATCTGAACAATGGCATAATATGGTTAAGTACCACTATGACCCACTTGTCTTTCTCCTGTGGTAGTTATACCACAGGAGAAAGATTTGTATGAGAATAAATGGGTAATATTGGTATAATACCATAATTACCCACTTGTCGTAATACAAATTCAGATTCACATAGTGAATCTGAACAATGGCATAATATGGTTAAGTACCACTATAACCCACTTGTCTTTCTTCTGTGGTAGTTATACCACAGAAGAAAGATTTGTATTACGAAAAGGATATACATAGATAACTTGTTTTTCAATTCATTACTCCTTGGAAGACAACAAGGGGGTCCTTCTAACGAGTTGTACTTACCCCTTCTAGATATAATTATATTACAATTTTATCTAGTAGTACCCCTCAAGGGGGATATCCTAGTATAGTATACGATACTAGGAAACTCATTCTTCGATAAATTATAGATCCCCCCTTAGGGGGGAGGTACCTCATTGTGGTATAGGTGGGTAACCCACCTATAATTGGTGTAACCACTATGTGGTTACACCACAATAAGTGGGTTTACCCTCCTTTGTGGTGCCCTAGATCTATTCCTTGGAAGACAAGTGATACAAATATCCTGTTGGGGGGTTAAGGTTGGGATAGATGTTGTCTGAGGAGTATTTGTACCACTATCTACCCACTATAACCATACCTTCACAAGATATCTATCGAGTATATCTACGAGATAGATATCTAGGGAAGGGATCTTATTGTGGTATGAGAATAAGTGGTGAAGGGTTAGAGTTGGTGTAGATACCCCTAAGGGGGGATCTATACCAACCTTAACCCCCCTCCTGTTGTTATTATTTGTATTACGACTATTACAACAATGGGGTAGTAGTGGTATGAGAACCCTTTCACTTGGACAATGGGTAAATAGTGGTATAATGCTCCTCATTGTGATATCACAATGAGGGCCCTCCCCCTAAGGGGGATCTACACCAACTCTAACCCCCCACCACTTGTTGTCATACAAATCCTTCTCCATGGGTATATTATACCCTTGTCCAGATTATACAAAGAATGTATACATTCTTTGTATAATTATGGTGGGTAAGTAATGGTATTTGTACCACTATTTACCCACTATCCTAATCTTGTTGTGATTTATCACAACAGGATTAGATCTTGATTTGTATGATAAAAGTCAGGGTATCACTATAACAACAGGGAGTGAATCTGAACTTGTATTACGACACATAGTGGAATACCATAGATAGGTTACCTGGAAATACAAGGGTACCTATTATAAACTCGTTAGAGTGTAAAAGGATAAATAGAGGTAAATATAAATTAAAAAATTTGAATAGAACCACGAACACGGTGAAAGGCAACTAATAAAGAAAGAGCTACAGCAGATTCAGCACCAGCTAAAACAAGAAGATATAAAGAGAAGTGAGAGGCAGCAAGGTCATCAAATAAAAAGCCAAAGTAGACAAGTCTAAAAGCAACTACAAAGATCATTAGTTCTAAAGCTAAAAGGATAAAGATAAGTTGTCTGTTATTTAAGATATAGAAAGCAGCAGCTAGGAAAAATAAGGCTAAAAGCATAACCATAGTCATCATAAATATAAATAGGGTATTTCCTATAATTGGTGCTATGATACTAAATCCAAGCATATATTATCAATCTCCATTCTTTACAATAAATCATATTTACTAACTAAAGTAATTTCATAGGTGATAAGATTTTAATTAGAATTGTCCTCAGAGTTTATTGGATCATCGGTCATTTCATAGTCGGCTGGTTGGGCTTCAATGCTTAATACAAAATTGTGAATATCTATATTATGCATATTCTCATACAAATAATTGGTGTAACCACTATGTGGTTACACCACAATAGGTGGGTTACCCTCCTTTGTGGTGCCTCCTTTTTGTGGTATTCTCATACAAATCCAAATCAATGATACCATTGATTTGGACAATGGGTAAATTACCCACTTATCCTGTTGTGATCGTAATACAAATTCAGATCTACTATGTAGATCTGGATTTGTATTACGACAAATGGGTAATATTGGTATAATGCTCCTCATTGTGATACCCTTTAAGGTAAATTGTACCACAATGAAGAGTATTACGATATCTAGATGGGATACCCTCTATGGATAAATCTAATTAAAGAGTGGATAACCAATTGAGGTAATTTTCGGTAGATACAGCTTTAACCCCAATAGGCATAAAACCATGAAGATAACCGCAAAGTTCAGAGCATTGACCATAGAAAATTCCGGGACGACTAATAATCACACCAGTAGAGTTTAAACGACCTGGAATTGCGTCTTGTTTAATACCTAGAGATGGTACAGAAAAGCTGTGAAGAACATCTGAGGCAGTAATTAAAAGACGAATGGAAGTATCAACAGGAAGAACTAGGTAATTATCAACGTTTAATTGACGTAAAGGACCGTCAACTAAGAAACTATCAAAGGTAAGAGGCTCAGCATAGTCAGTATATTCGTAGCTCCAGTACCATTGATTACCAATAGCTTTAATGGTTACTTGCGGTTCAATAATTTCATCCATAAGGTAAAGAAGACGGAAAGATGGAAGAGCAATAGCACCTAAAATAAGAGCAGGAGCTAAGGTCCATAAGAATTCAATAACGTGGCCGTGGTAATGACGAGCGTAAGAAATGGTTTGAGAATTAACAATACCACGAGTTAATACCCAAGAAACTACAACAACAATAAGAACTAAATAGAAAAGAACATGATCATGTAATTCGATAAGACCGTACATAGTCGGAGAGGCGACGTCTTGGAACCCAATTCCTCAGTTTTCAGGGCAATCACAATAAATTGAATTAACGAGCATCAAAAAGTAAAGCATCAAACAATTATTGATTCTCATACAAATCCAGATCTAATCCTGTTGTGATAAATCACAACAGGATTAGGATAGTGGGTAAATAGTGGTACAAATACCATTACTTACCCACCATAATTATACAAAGAATGTATACATTCTTTGTATAATCTGGACAAGGGTATAATATACCCATGGATAAGGATTTGTATAAGAATAAGTGGTGGGGGGGTTAGAGTTGGTGTAGATCCCCCTTAGGGGGAGGGTCCTCATTGTGATATCACAATGAGGAGCACTATACCACTATTACCCATTTGTCGTAATACAAATTCAGATTCACATAGTGAATCTGAACAATGGCATAATATGGTTAAGTACCACTATAACCCACTTGTCTTTCTTCTGTGGTAGTTATACCACAGAAGAAAGATTTGTATTACGATATAAAGAAGGTAGAGTTATGGGAAGGTAATGGTATCCTAATGGAGGGGGTAACCCACCTATTGTGACCCTGGTGGGCCCATTATACCATTACTCTCCTATTGTGGTCTCCTTATTGTGGTACAATCGTAATACAAATGGGAGGGTAATGATACAAATATCACGATCTATGAATAATTAGGTCATTTACCCTTGTTACCAATTGTTGTATGAAGACCGGGGATGTAACTCCCCCCTTTTCTTGTAGAAAATAGGGGTAATAATGGTACTTGCCCATATTTACCCATTGTCTAGATCTACTATTCTCATAAAGGGACTTTGAAAAATCTAGTGTCTGGGTCACAAACAGTTTCACCAATAACTCGTTCTTCCATAAGACGGATAGGGGCACCTGGAATCGAACCAGGATATTCAGCTTAAAAGGCTGCAGCTCTAACCGTTGAGCTATGCCTTCACTATCAATGGGAGAGTAGTGGTACTAGTGCTCCTCATTGTAACCCCCTCCCACTGTAATACAATGGGAGGGGGTTACAATGAGGACCCCCCCCCTAAGGGGGGATCTATACCAATTCTAACCCCCCACCACTTATTTGTATGAGAATGATAAATTTATACCACACTAAGGAGTATAATAACCATACCTTATCACTTATTCTTATACAAATCCTTCTCCATGGGTATATTCTCCCCTTATCCAGATTATACATTCTTTGTATAATTATGGTGGGTAAGTAATGGTATTTGTACCACTATTTACCCACTATCCTAATCCTGTTGTGATTTATCACAACAGGATTAGATCTGGATTTGTATAAGAATAACCACTATCTAGCTAACGCGATTATAGGGCTATTTAGTCCCTTATTTGTGAAATCACTAACCCCCCCCATCCCACCTGTCGTAATACAAATAATTTATTATAAGGAGGGTAAACCCTCCTTTTTGTGGTAATATAAATCCTTCTCCTATCTAGTAGGATAAATGGGAGGGTAATGATACCATTGTTATGTTGTGTTAAATACAATAAATCTTGACAATAGGAGGGATCTTGAACCACAATAAGGTCCCTCCCCCTAAGGGGGGATCTATACCAACCCTAACCCCCCTCCCACCATTCTTTGTATAATCTGGACAAGGGGAGAATATACCCATGGAGAAGGATTTCTATAATAATGGTGGGTAAGTAATAGTGGGTAAGTAATGATGGGTAAGTAATGGTGGGTAAGTAATGGTGGGTAAGTAATGGTACTTGTACCACTATCTACCCACTATCCTACAGGGTACCACTATAACAACAGGATTAGGTTTGGATTTGTATCACAATACCACAACCAACTCTAAACCCCCCCCACCCCTTGTTCTTATACCCACCTATTATGGCAGTTTACATAGGAATTAACCTAAAATAAGGATAATAATGAAGTAAGCAAAGTAGAGGAAAGTACAAACTTGACTAATTTGGACATAAGGGGAGTGAATGGGTTGACCACCTAGCCACATAAGAAGGAAAAAGTTAGCAACAAATAACCAGAAAAGGGATTTCATGATAGGAGTGTTACCAACTAAACGTAAGCGAGTAAACCAAGGAAGAGTTAAAAGAATAAGAAGAGAACCAAACATAGCTACAACACCTAACACTTTGTTTGGAATAGCACGTAAAATGGCATAGAAAGGTAAGAAGTACCATTCAGGAACAATGTGATGAGGGGTAACTAATGGGTTAGCAGGAATATAGTTATCTGGGTGACCTAAGTAATTTGGAACAAAGAATACTAAAACAGCTAAACCAATGAATAACCAAATAAAACCAACAAGGTCTTTAGAGGTGAAGTAAGGGTGGAAACGTAAGTAGTCACCTTTAACAGAAAGTGGATTAGTAGAACCATGTTGGTGTAAACCTAAGATATGGACAAGAACTAAGGCAGCAAGGACAAAAGGTAAGAGATAGTGAAGACTAAAGAAACGGTTTAAGGTAGCATTATCTACACTGAAACCACCCCAAATGAAGTAAACAATATCTTGACCTAACCATGGAATGGCAGAAAGAAGGTTAGTAATAACGGTAGCACCCCAGAAAGACATTTGACCCCATGGGAGGACATAACCTAGGAAAGCAGTAGCCATCATGATAATGTAGATAACTACACCTGCAACCCATAAAATTAAACGAGGAGGACGATAAGAAGCAAAATAAAGACCGCGACCAATGTGAATATAAACAAGAATGAAGAAGAAAGAAGCACCATTGGCATGAAGATAACGAAGAAGCCAACCATAATTAACATCACGCATAATATGTTCTACACTAGCAAAGGCATAAGCAGTATTAGGAGTATAGTGCATGGCTAAAGTAATACCAGTAATAATTTGAAGTACTAAGACAACACCTAATAAGGAACCAAAATTCCAAAAATAGGTAATGTTAGCGGGTAATGGAGAGTCAATAAAGAAGTCATTTACAAGGGATAAGATAGGATTACGTTTAACAAATTTCATCAAAAAAAAATAAATATAGATTTAGGAGCTATTAGATCTAGAAATGCATACGTTTATTATAATTGGAGTGAAGTGGGTAGGAGTCGAACCTACATTGGCCAAAACCACACTTTTACAGAGTGCTACCTAACCATTCGGTCACCACTATTCTCATACAAATTGGATCGAAGAAGGGGGTGTCATAGGCTACCCTCCTACTCACTCGTTAGGGTGCACCCATTGTCCAAATCAACATATGGTGTAACCTTGGGTACCTCGTTCTTCGATAAACGACAGATCTACGTAGTAGATCTGAAAAGAAGGGACTTTGACACCACAATAGGTGGGTTTACCCTTCTTTGTGAAGGGGAGGAGGGGTTCCTTTCTAACGAGGTTCTATGGCATATGAATTTCCAGAACAAGTTAGAAAGGATATCCATAGATAACTTGTTCTTCAATTCATTACTCCTTGGAAGACAAGTGATACAAATATCCTGTTGGGGGGTTAAGGTTGGTATAGATATTGTCTGAGAAGTATTTGTACCACTATCTACCCACTATAACCATACCTTCCCAAGATATATAGGGGAGGACCTTATTGTGGCATGAGAATAAGTGGTGGGGTTCTCATTGTGAATGAGGAGCATTATACTCCTTAGACAATACTTAGGAGGGTCACCAACCCTTACCCCCTCCCATTTGTATGAGAACAGGATTATTTGTATTACGATTGCACACAAAAAGGAGGCACCACAAAGGAGGGTAAACGGAAAATTGTACCACAATAATAAGTATAAATACCCCCTCAATTGTATTTGTATTATGAGTAGATAATGTGGTATTTACCCATTAGGCCATAAAGTAATTTGTTAATAGTCTGGGGTAAGTGGATTCGAACCAACTATTACTGGCACCAAAAACCAGCGTCCTACCTATTGTACGATACCCCAATTATTACCTTATTGCACAACCCTTCTCTAATGAGTAAGTAAAGGGCCTTTCCTTTACCTTACCTGTAAATACAAGGTGGGAGGAGGTGGGTTCCCTCTATAATCTATCGATTGTGTTAAATATAAATACTTGTGATACAAATTCTATGGAAGAAGGGGTGTAAATGTATTTCTAGTTGTTTGGAGGGTGGTGCAACCTGATGAAAAGAAGGGACTTAAGTCCCTTCTATACTCGTTAGATCCAGATCACAAACAGTTGCACCATAAGGGAGATTAATCTGCCTGCTACCCTCATTCCTTAGATGGACATTATTTGCATTCAACATATTCTTTTTTTTCTCTTTATAAGTATAAAATTTTATTTATTAAATTTCAAATAATTGATGTAACTTACCACAATAGGTGGGTTTACCCTCCTTTGTGTTGCTCCTGGTCTTATGATACAAGGGGGTGTAACGAAGAAAAGTAGTTATACCCTCTGACAGGTGTTTAAACCCTCCCATACCCACTTAACACTCGTCAGAGGGTATTGTAATACAATTATATCTAAAGTGGATACCTTCAAACGAGTTTACTAGTACCCTATATCCTTACGGGTGCTTACACTTCCATATGGTTATAATACAATGGTGGGGGTTAGAGTTGGTGTAGATCCCTCTTAGGGGAGGGTCCTTATTGTGATATTATAATGAGGAACATTATACTCTTTAAACAATATTTAGTGTTGTTTAAGGTTCTTCTCTTTAAGGGGGAGGGTCACCAATCCTTACTCCTTTCCTATTTGTCGTAATACAAATCCAAATCAATGGTACCATTGATTTGGGTAATGGTTAAATTACTCATTTATCCTGTTGTGATCGTAATACAAATTCAGATCTACTATGTAGATCTGGATTTGTATTACGACAAATGGGTAATATTGGTATAATGCCATAATTACCCACTTATTTGTATTACGATTGAAGGAGTTGTCTTAGGACCCTTTTTTAATATTTAATGAATTAACAAACGAATTAGATATTTATCTTCTATTGTGATTTGGTTTATTCTCATATGGGAGGGGAGTAATAGTTTGTATTCTTACCTTTTAGGGGGAGGGACTTTATTGTGGTATTAATTGTATCGTAATACAAATAATCCCAATAGGATTATTTGTATTACGACAAATGGGTAAATAGTGGTATAATGCATAATTACCCACTAGTTCTCATACAAATCTTTCTCCTGTGGTATAACTACCACAGGAGAAAGACAAGTGGGTCATAGTGGTACTTAACCATATTATGCCATTGTTCAGATTATACAAAGAATGTGTACATTCTTTGTATAATTATGGTGGGTAAGTAATGGTATTTGTACCACTATTTACCCACTATTCTAATCCTGTTGTGATTTATCACAACAGGATTAGATCTGAATTTATATGATATTACGATTGATACTACAATAAGGATTCACAATATAGGGGTATAACCCACCTATTGTTATCCACTTATAATTTATTGAAGAACGAGTTACCATAGGATAGTAGTAAGTACAACTCGTTAGAAGGACCCCCTTGTTGTCTTCGAAGAGGGTACCAACCCTAACCCCCCTACCATAGTGAAAAAGGGACTTGTATGAGAACAGGAATGGGGTGGTTAACCCACTCTTATTACCCTATAGTCCACTTATAATGGTATTACACGTAGTGGAATACCATAAATAAGGTACCTGGAGAATTATTTATTTCAAAGCTCGCTCTTCGATAAATCTTCGATAAATTATATCAAATAGATTAGTGGTCAAAACGGGAAACAGCAGTTACTGGACGGAAGGTACGAACAAGAAGGGTAAGGAAAATAAATAGAGAGATAATAGAAAAAACAGTACCTAAGGACATAACAGCGTTCCAGTGGGCAAAGGCTTCGGGGTAATCAGGAATACGACGAGGCATACCATTGATACCTAAGAAGTGCATTGGGAAGAAGATAAGGTTTACAGCAATAAAGAAAGTCCAAAAGTGAACACGACCAAGCCATTCTGGGTAATTGTAACCAGTCATTTTACCTACCCAGTAATAGAAAGCAGCAAAAAGAGCGAATACAGCACCCATAGAAAGAACGTAGTGGAAGTGGGCTACAACGTAATAGGTATCATGGAAGGCAATGTCAAGAGAAGCATTAGCTAATACTACACCAGTAACACCACCTAAAGTGAAAAGGAGTAAGAAGCCTAAAGCAAAGAGCATTGGAGTGTAAAAGTGAATACGACCACCATATAAAGTAGCTAACCAAGAGAACATTTTAATACCAGTTGGTACAGCAATAATCATAGTGGCAGCGGTGAAGTAGGCACGGGTATCTACATCTAAACCAACAGTGTAAAGGTGGTGGCTCCAAACAATGAAACCTAAAAGACCAATACTCATCATAGCGTAAATCATACCAATAGAACCGAAAATCGGTTTAAGGGCGAAACGGCTAAGAACGTGACTAATAACACCGAAAGCAGGAAGAATCATAATATAAACTTCAGGATGCAATTCCTTTCTAAGGATTTATCACGACAATGGATTCTCATAGGGGGTAAGAGTTGGTGACCCTCCTAAGTGTTGTCTAAGGAGTACTAATACCACTATTACCCACATAGATATGGGTCACAGTTAACATATGATTTACCTTAGAAAAGGAAGTGGACTATATCATCTACTTATTTGTGAAACAATTTTATTGTTTCAAATCTATCGAGTGAACAAGGAGATTCTCATACAAATAATTGGTGTAACCACTATGTAGTTACACCACAATAGGTGGGTTTACCCTCCTTTGTGGGTGGGTAATTGTGGCATTGTACTCCTTAGACAACACTTAGTGTTGTCTAAGGTCCCTCCCCCTAAGGGGGTCATGAATTGAAGAACAAGTTATATATGGGTATCCTTTCTAACTTGTTATGGAAATTCATATGCCATAGAACCTCGTTAGAAAGTAACCCCCCTCCCATTTGTCGTAATACAAATCTACTATGTAGATTTGGATTTGTATTACGACAAATGGGTAATATTGGTATAATGCCATAATTACCCACTTATTTATATTACGACTCATAGAACTCGTTAGAGAAACGAGTATACTCGATAGATATTGGAAAACAATTATTTTGTTTTCTAATTCCCGTAAGTCCATTTTCTTTCAAAGTTACGCCAAGCATTGTAATGAGGACTAGTAACTTCATAAGCTTCAAGATCACGAAGAGTAAAGTAATCTTGAATAAGGAGAATACGTTTAAATTTGTGACTACGAAGTTGATGATCTTTAAAATAATCAACCATAGTAAAAATATCGTTACGACTTTGAATAGACCATTGCCAATAACCATTTTGACCTTTATCATAGTATAAATTACCATCAAAAGCATCAGCAAAGAATTGTACATCTTGTTGAGCTTTGTTAGCAACTCGAATGCTAAGTTGAGGCATTTTACGTTTACCATTAAATTTCATACTATAAGTAATAGTACCATCAGCATCAAAAAAGCCAGCAAACCAAGAAGAATCACGAGTAAGAGTAATCGGATCTTTATAGGGGATATTTAATTGGTTACAAACAGCTTTAAGTTGAGGAATTCGTACAGAATTACGAATATTACCATTAATAGCATTGACAATATCGACCATAATTATATTGCTTTGAGTACGATAACGATAAGATTTTGAACCAGAACGAAGTTTAATGCTACCACCAAATTGGGTTTTGATAGTAGTTAAACATGGTTCATCATGACGGTCCATAGTAATTTCGATGCCAACATAACCATCTTTAACATAAAGATAGCCATCACCATCGATAACACCAGCTAACCATTCACAAAAAGAATTAGACAAAGTAGCTACGCGTGTAGTCTCTGAGGTACCTACTAGACTATTTTTACGAGAAGTGTAAAAACGTCGTTGGTTACCTGCTGGTTTCATTTCTATTTCTACTTTATCACTGATCGGGGATAAAAATCCACTTACGAATCGAGTAGTAGAAATAGCTAAAAAATGGTTCCAGCAAATAGCGTAGTTCATATCACAGTTTTCAATATAGCTGTGATCGGGCCAAACTTGACCGAAGAACCAGAAAAGGTGTTGATATAAAACAGGGTCACCACCACCGGTAGGGTCATAGAAAGTAGTGTTAAAATTACGGTCGGTTAATAACATGGTAATACCACCAGCAAGAATAGGTAAGGATAAAACTAAAAGGAAAGAAGTAATGAAAGTACCCCAAACAAATAGTGGGACACGTTCCATAGTCATACCTGGGGCACGCATGTTAACAACAGTGGTAATCATATTCATGGAACTAACCATAGAACTGATACCGGCTAAATGAAGACTTAAAATAGCAAGATCTACACTATGCAATTCGATAATTCCACCCAAGAGGGTGGAATTATCTAAGTGGACTATATCATCAATCTATTCTTAGTGCAACCACAAAGTGGTTGCACTATAAAGGGATAGCCAGGGTATAGTACCACAGCCACCCTCCTTATAGTGCAACTATAAAGTAGTTGCACTATACCATTTATTTTCAAAATGAAGCCAAGCATTAAAATAAGGACTTGTGTCTTTATAAGCTTCTAAATTACGTAATCTAAAGTATTCATCAATTAAAAAAGCTCGACGTAATTTACGACTATGGCCTGAGTGAGATTTAAGATATTGAGCCATAGATAATACTTCATTATTAGATTCAACACCCCATTGATAAACACCGTTATCTGAAGCATCATATTGGATAGTACCACCAAAAACATCTTGAAACATTTTAACGTCAACTAAACGTTTATTGGCTACTTTAATAGCTAATTTAGGATGATCTCCACGAGCTTTATTCAAGTTCGTATACGAACTTGAACTAAGGGGTGATTGGGGTTTATTCGAGATTTTATCAAAAATCTCGATAGTACCATCAGCATCAAAAAAGCCAGAATACCAATGAGAATCAGGAGTAAGTTTAACAGGGGTAATTAAA